CCCCCCCCCCCCCCCCCTCCTCCTCTCTCTGTTTCTCAGAATTTTAGTAGGCCATTATAGCCGGCAAACATAAAAGAGCCGTTAAAGAAGACGAGTTCATTGTTTTTATTAGGTCATTGAAGAAGATGAGTTGTGAAATAAGCTTGAGTTGGGTTCTTTTATTCAATTTCATAAGAATAATGGGTATAGGGGTTTGAATATTAGGAGCGAGGGCATACTTTTTGATTTTCTTAAAAAGATAAATATAAAAGAATATTTTCTATCGTATATAATGCTAATTAACCACACCGACTAATATCAATATATTTTTGCAATTTGAGGACTACTATCTGAATGTAAAGATATGGGGGACTAAAAACAAATTACTAATAACTTAAAGGAAGGATATCGAAAAACCTACATGTGTGTGCACCAGCCCGCGTGTGTATCACTTAATTAAAACAATTTGTTGAGGTGATGAATACAATAGCAACTATAAGTCAGTCAACTGATCATCAATCTTGATTCACATGGACTCGGGAAATTGTTTCTACTTATTTCACTCTTAAAATTATGTATTATTATATAATAACACTCAAAATTTCTTCATTTACTTTCTCCTAAATTTAATATCCACTCTCCCTTCTCATTAAGAAGTGCAAGCAACCAATAATTAGGTTAATTAACCCGAACCCGTCTACGATAGAGCCCACAGTTTGCCTGTCCACGTCATCTCACAATTATATGCCGTACACTTCAATTGTTAGAAACTATAGACCGTTCGATTTTTGAATCTTCTTCGGGTTTCGGATCCCACGAATGGAAAAAGCAAAATCCGAGATGGGATCCCTGTTCTCGGTACCCCTCCTCTCTTTCTCCCCTCCTCCACCTCAACGGCCTCTTCGATGATTCGACGTATTTAAAAATTGTTGGATTCGTCGTTTTGATTCAACCAACTTGCTCAAAACCCTAAAATTTTAAGGTATTGATTGGTTTTAGGGGTCAATTTTGAGAAATGGAGCCTATGGATATCGTGGGCAAGTCAAAAGAGGATGTTTCGCTTCCTAAAGGTAAGAAATTGAGTTCAAGTTCGAATTTTTGTGGTGTATTTGTTGGAAGTTTATGTTTTTTTCATCTGATAATGATAATTCCCTTTCCTTGGTTGCGAATTGTATGCTTGAGTGGAAATTGTGAACTTAGGGTTTCTGTTTTGAACTCTGTTTAGATGATTAGAGACATTCATATCATAAAAACACTTATAAATCTAAACTTATGTAATTTGGTGTGTTTGAGATACTGTTATCTTTAGCTTGTTTGTACGTTAATACTCCAAAGCTTCACCCTTTCCTAGCTTTCGTATTCTCAAGTTTCTATGTTGGTAATTGATACGCCAAGGTCAAAAAATATTGAAGTAATTTTGTTCAAGAAATATCAAAGAAATGTCAAGTGGAAACAATTTTTCTTACCAAATTTCAGTTTTTCGAATTTTGGGAAAATGAGGAACAAAGTTAGGGGTCTGGGGGTATCAAAATGTCAATTGAAGTGCAAATAAGCTTTACCGTTACCATTATCATTATCATTATTATGTTATTATTTGAGTTGACACGGTTTACGAACTTCAAATAGGATAGTTTTATACAACTTTTAGGGTATTTCAGAAGATCAGAATTCTAAAATATTGGATGAAACATATATTGAAATTGGATATGGCATACCGGAGATGATGAATGGTAATAGCATCCTGTTAGCTTGACCTGGTCTAAGATGACCAAATCAACGATTCTCAGTAGAGAGAATTGTGGATCGTTGAGAAAAATTGGGTTTGTTGAGAGAAATTCTCTCAGGAGCGGTTATGAGGGGGGTGGAGATAATGGGTTCTGGCTCCTATATAAAGAGGTGTAATCTCCTTGAGAAATATACAACAACAACAAAGAAACAAAATCAAACCCTAACCTGTTACCGGAGCCCCCCTCAAAAATCTGTTCTTCCTTCTTCTCTGAGATCAAACACTGGTATCAGAGCAGCGTCGATCTCAACGCCGCCCTCTGGAGCTCTGCGTCAATCAACCACCTCGACCACTCTGCTACGACGTTCGACGACGACGACGATTCTGCTGTTGCGATCGACGACGGCGACGACGAACTTGTCCGCCAATTCGCATCTGAGCCGCGACGATCGACCACGACGCCAGAGTCTCCATCCTCGGCGAGCTCCTGGATTTAGATCGAGGAAGAATTCTGCCGCCCCTTGCAATTTTTTTTTGGTCCTCAACCCTAGCTTGAAGATCGAGATTTTTTTTAACAGAGGAATCAAGAGGAGTAGTTGGGCCTTTTGTGTTTGGGCCTGGTGATTAAATATCCACGAGAAGCTAAGTAATATACTCCCTGCTAACTCTTCTCTGTTTTAATTAAAAAAAAAGGGAAACTTGGGCCTTTGTAGTTGGGCCTTGTAGCTGCAGTTGGGTTTGAACTCTTAGATCCAGCGTGAGGAGTATTATATAAGTAGAAATATCAGATTCTTCACACGGTGGATCTTCTCCAAAATTCAGTCAGACAAGTGCTTATACAATCAACACCACTAAGTGACCATCTTGCTCAAATTGGAGCCACTTTCATCAACTCGGATCAATCAGGTTTATTTTTATTTAATTTATTTATTTTTTTAACTTTATTATTATTTAGTATTATTGTTAAAATATCAACCTTATACAAATATTTAAAATTGAATTTAGTTTTAGTTCTCTACCGAATGACTAGTAAACTCGTTCTATCAGAACTAGGCAAAATTGACAAATTTAATGGCAGTAATTATGATATATGGCATAGAAAAATAGGGTATGCTCTTATTCATGACAATATTGATGATATAATCGAAATCACTGCTCCAACCCTTACTGATAAATCTACACTTGAAGAAAAGAAAGGGTTTGAACAATGGAAGTCGAAAGATAAAAAGGCGAAAAGTCTTATGCTCATGTTCATGGAAGATAATTTAATCAAAGTTTTTGAAACTTATAAAACTTCCATGGACATGTGGAATGCAATAAAAGAAAAATACGACACTGCTTCTGAAGTTAACATCCAACTACTCTTGCATAAGTATAATTCTTGTCGTATGCAAGAGGGAGACAATGTCGTAGAGCATATAAATAAAATGATTGTCATGGCTAAGGACTTATCCACTGCTGGGACCGAAATCCCGGAAAGAATGCAAGTGGCAACCATTTTGAATAGTCTCCCCCCTTCACTTGCTGTGGCTGCCACCACATTAAGAATGAATCCTGCAATTAAGTCTGTCACTGATCTTCCTATGCACCTAGCGATAGAACATGACTTAATAGCCAGTAGAAAGGAACCAGAACTGAATATGGTGCAGCAAGAGCTGAATTATGTCCGCCAGAGACATAATGCTGGAAGCTATAAAAACCCTGGTTCTAGTAAACCACAACCACGAGGACCGAAATCGCAGCAGTTCAAGAGAAAGAAAGTACCCCGCGGAGCCTGCTACAATTGTGGAAAGTTCGGGCATTTCAAACCCAATTGCCCACAAGGTGAAAAGCAGGAGAATAAAGGAGGCTATAAGCATCCAGAACAAGGGGGTACTAGCAAAAGAGAATTCGTCGGTGTGACGGAATGTAATGCTGTGATGACGGACATTAGTGGTTGGTGGATCGACTCCGGAGCGACTAGGCATATCGCAAAGGACAAGAATAGAGTTGTAGAATTCACCGAGCTGAAGAAGGGAGAACAGAGAATCTATATGGGAAATAATACCTATCTTGATGTAGAAGGTATTGGTTCGTATAGATTGGGAGAACAGAGAATCTATATGGGAAATAATACCTATCTTGATGTAGAAGGTATTGGTTCGTATAGATTGGATCTTGGGGACAGCATTCTTGTCCTCAAAGATGTGTTCTATGCGCCAGGAATTAGACGCAATCTGATCTCTATTCCCAGCTTGATGAAGAAAGGACTGGAAGTAAGGTTCTATAATAACAGGGTTTCTATAGGCAAGAATAATAAAGTGTATGCTATGGGAAAATATGTGTCCGAGCATGAATTATGCATTCTTCCAGTAGTTTGTAATAATTCTGATAATAAAATTTCGAATTTGAACTACTTGTCCTGTTATATTTCTGAATCTGAATTGTGGCATTCTAGACTAGGACATGCTAGTATTTCAAAAATGAAAGAAATTATCAGAATGAACTTGCTTCCTGCACTATCTAATGTTCAATTGCCACCATGTGAACATTGTTTAACTGGTAAAATGACTAGAAAACCTTTTGTTGGCGGACATAGAGCCAATGAACTTTTAGGGTTGATACACTCGGATATTTGTGGTCCCCTAAGTGTCAAAACTCATAGTAATAAAGAATATTTTATTACTTTTATAGATGATTTTTCTAAGTTTGCACACGTTTATCTTATATCCAGAAAATTAGAAGCTTTTGACTGCTTTAAGAGATATAAGACAGAAGTTGAAAACCAACTTGGATTGAAAATCAAAATTTTGAGAACTGATAGAGGTGGAGAATATAATTCTAAAGAATTTGAAAGTTATTGTATTCAGCATGGAATTAAAAGGCATACAACAATGCCGTATACGCCACAACAGAATGGTGTTGCTGAAAGAAAAAACAGAACATTATTAAATGTAGTTAGATGCATGTTGTCTCATTCTGGTCTCTCTAAAAACTTTTGGGGAGAAGCATTGTTAACTGCAAACTACATTTTAAATAGAATTCCCACCAAATCAGTTATATCTACACCTTATGAATTATGGAATGGGAGGAAACCTAATTTGAGTCATCTCAGGAAGTGGGGATCTATAGCCCATGTTCTCATTCCATGTCAACTTAGAGATAAGTTGGATTTTAAAACAATAAAGTGTAGATTCATAGGGTATTCAGAAAAGTCAAAAGGTTATAAGTTCTACAATAAAGAAAAAGGAGTCATTGAAAGCAGAGATGCTACATTTCTAGAGAATCTAGAGGAAGAGGAACAAGTTCAAGAGGAAACAGAACCTCTAACTGTAATAGATGATGATTATTACAGTGTTGTTCCCACTAATGACCCTGATATTGTGAATGAACCTAACCTTGAAAATGATGAAATACCTATAGAAATTAATGTACCTAATCAACCGGTTGTAGGCAACAAAAGACCAAGAACACAACCTTCATGGATGGATGATTACTATTTGTATTCATGTGAGTCATCATGTTTTTCGGTAGATACAAATATAGAAGAACAAGATCCCTTAACCTTTTCTGATGCGATGAAATCGCATGAATCGGCTTTATGGCTAGAATCTATGAGAGAAGAACTTGATTCCATAGAAAAGAATAAGGTATGAGAGTTATGTGATCTACCAGAAAATAGAAAAGCCATAGGATGCAAATGGGTGCTCAAAAAGAAATATCGTGTTGATGGATCTATTGATAAATTCAAAGCACGGTTAGTTGCCAAAGGTTATAACCAGAAGGCAGGAATAGATTTTCAGGAGACGTATTCTCCTGTAGCTAAATTTGCATCCATTAGAATTATTTTGGCTATTGTTGCATATCTTGATTTGGAGTTATTCCAAATGGATGTTAAAACTGCATTCCTTAACGGAGAGTTGAAGGAAGCAATATATATGCAACAACCTGAAGGTTTTCAGGTGAAAGAACAGGAACATAAAGTTTACAAATTAATGAAATCTCTATATGGTTTAAAACAGTCTTCTAGACAATGGTATCTCAAATTTCATGATGCAGTTACTAAACTTGGTTTTATTCAAAATAAATTAGATAATTGTGTATATGTCTTGAAAAGTGGGAGCAAGTTTACTATATTATCCTTATATGTGGATGATATATTGCTCGCTGGAAATGACATAGAAATGTTGAATAAAACCAAGGCAGATCTCAGCGAAAAGTTTGAGATGAAAGACATGGGAGATGCATCATATATTCTTGGAATTCAAATAATTCGAGATAGAAAGTCTAGAATGCTAAGTTTAAACCAAGAAAAATATTTAAGATCAGTTCTTAAAAGGTTTGGAATGGAGAATTCCAATCCGG